TAGCGGAACAGGTAATCCAAAACTCGTTTGTTGCATTCGGCTTGCCATTATTCGTGTACGTACGTGCTTCAAATAACTTAAAATTTTCCAAAAAAAACCGTGAATCCTACCCAACGAAAAATCACTCAAATTCTTCTGTGCGGGCCCATAACCTGTTGTTGATAATTATGGAAGTCTATTGAGGTGATTTTATTGGGTTAGGGTGACAGGAGCAACAAGCAGGTAAGTAAGTTAGAACACACGTTAATGAGAACTTTCTTTATTGTTATAGAAGGCAAGGCAACTGACCGTGGTAGTGATCGTTTACAGACTGAGAAGGTCTTTGGCGCAGAAGGCGCACAGTAACAGTANCGTGCTACGAGTGAACTAACGTACTTGGCTTCACCATTATCACAAGATGAGGATCCGTTCAGTATTCTTATGGTTTTGGCAACACTTTATGAAATTCCATTTGCCAATCTTTTTTTTTGGAAGGTGAAATTATCCGTATGGTAACACTTAAAATGGGGGGTTCCAGTATTTTTAAACAATAATCGAAAGAACAAAAAACTGTTACTGTTTAAATTTTTTTTGGTTATTGTTCAAAAATACTGAACCCCCCACTTTTAGTGTTATGATACGGATAATATCACCGTAAATGTGATATTTAATTCACTATGAAGTAGCTATAATTATGTACAAATAACAACTATAAAAAGTAGCTGTTTACAGCTATAAACTTCTAGCAAATTTTAATTAACAGAATTTATTCAATAATTTTTATTTTTGTAAGGTATATCAGCCCAATAAGATGATATTATCCGTATAATAACAGTAAAAGTGACTACCAATGATCTGGACCGGGTTTAAGGAGGCTTGGACGTTTGGTGTCGTATCTATTGAGGGGCCCCTGTGGGGTACTTGTCATACAAATGATTCTTTGTAATATTTTTTTTATAATCATTTTGATTATACACATGTGTGAACAAAATAGCAATAATACGCGGAAAAGTCATTGGGAAAATCGATATTAAAAAATTTATCAGTTTTCCCGAGATACCTTGTGTAAAGATGACGGCCCTGCCACGATAAAGCTGACAACACTGTACTCTCTTGCTCTCATCTGCTATTATATACCTATACTTGTGTTAGACTTAAATTTTCATGCTTGTATGTTTATGAATGTACAGCGCATGCGCACTTACAGTCCCTGAACAAAACAATTCTCATGTTCGATGTTTTCCTCGCTATTTTCTTAAAATTTAACATGTTGATCCTATTCTTTTTTTTAAATAATAGATTCTTTATACTTTCAAGTACATGTACCAATTTAATGTGTGGGCCCACAGCTTTTTATTGCGGTACGGTAGTCTATTGAATTTCGGGTTCCGTATGTAAGGTTGCGTGTTAAAATGACGAATTTTTACAAGCGATTTTATCGAAAATAAATGTGTTGACCTACCTATTTTGTTTTCCTAAAAAATCTAGCAAACTTTATGTATATAATCTCTGAATTTCAGACCTATAGCTAGCATTTAATTCAAAATCGCCCAAGCCTCCTTAAATCCCTTTATTGGAGCTAAGGGATGCTTTTTTAAAACTATTTATATTAGCTATTCTCACAGCTTTTAAGCAGTTAGAAGTATAAGATTTACTTTTTTATTATAAAAATTTACATGACACTTTCACATGACACTTCTATATGGTAAATTGGCACGACTTTTGACCTGACATGGCTGACATGTCACCTGACAAATAACATGACAAGTTACCTGAATGTTTTCAGTAGGGTAGATGTGTGGCGGTTTCCGCTAGCCAAAGCGCAAAACAAAAATAGCGCTGGAAACAACAGCTCATCCCGCGAGCGCAATGGTAGAGCGCGCCATCTTCAGCAAGTAAAGCTCTCTATAGCGCCCACCTTTAGGCCGTTACTCTTGTATTCAATAAACGTAAGTTCTATTTTACTTGCTGTCTCATTATTGTGTTGCCTACTTCGCACCTCCGCTATCCTCGAGCCCGGGGTAAGCTCAGCGCGTAATCAAACCCCAAAGTGGCGATCCTGACAGGATACTCTCCACAAGGTAAACAGTGCAGTGTCATTATTGAGTGAAAAAGTGAGACACTTAGTGCTATAAAAAACGAAGGTAATCGGCCGCACCCCAGTTAGCTCACCGGCCCCTTACCACTTACATCATCTTCACACGCTACCCACGACCTGCCATCCGGGTCAATTGCCCTCGGCCGCCGAGTTTACGCTCAAGCACACTGCCTCCAGGTCGGCGATTTGCTCAAGAGCCTCGACCGCATTAGGTGACGCTCGCATGCCTGCACACTCCCCTGCCGTCGCGAACGATTGCGGGTCAAACCTAGCTACACCACGTGGACCTCCTCCATGACTGACGCAACGGTGCATCACGATTGAGAGGCCTCATTTTTACGGGCGCACACGAGGCCAGCAACATAACCTCGCAGGCGCATCTCAACGCTCTCTTTTTCTCTCTCTCTCTTTCAAGCTCTTTGTGTGCGACGGTGTTTCGTGAGCATATTGTGTGTATGCGCATGATCAAAAAGGTGACCTTTTCTTTCCGCTCGCCTGCATGCCACACGCAGCAGCGGCGCAAATTTTTGCCAGTGCTTCTTAACGAGAGTTATTATTGCGCATTCATTCGTCTCTGATGAGGTGCACATTGATGGAATAGGAGCGTCGGCCCCTCCCATCCTGGACGACGCCGACAAGTAGACGACGTCGCGGGAAGAGCGTTACGCGCGCTGACTGCAGCTGCGAGAGGAGACATAGTTTCAGCAAGACCTGCAAGTCGTACAACAGCAGCAACTAGCCGACCAAGCCACGCCTGTTTCGACAGCCGAAGCACTACAGCAGACCGCACCCACGCCTTCGGACGCTGTACAGCCGTCGCCGCCCCAGGACACGTCAACGTCAACGATCGCCGATCAGCTACAAGCGATCACAATGACGACTCCCAGGCCCTAGCTTCCCCGTTTCTGGGCCAAGTCCCCGGCTGTATGGTTCGTACAAATCGAGGCAGTGTTCGAAGCCAACGGGATCACCTCCAACCGAGCCAAGTACCTCGCAGTCGTAACGGCCTTGGAGGGTCCAGCCGTATCTGAACTGAGCGACGTGCTCACGAATTTGCCTGTAGAAAACCAGTATGCTGGCTTAAAAACTGCCATCCACATACTCAGCTGATGCACAGCTCCGTAAGCTCTTCGGTGGTCTGCAGCTCGCTGACCTGAAGCCTTCACAACTGCTGCGTCAAATGAAAACCCTTGCGGGAAATAAAGTTACGGAGGAAATTTTAAAAATTAGGTGGTTCATTCTTTTGCCTCAACAGATAACTTACATGCTCCGGATAATGAAAACGGCTACCCTCGATGACTTGAGTGTCATGGCCGACGAGCTGACCCAGGTAAACGCAGTTGGCAGCCGTCTCTCGTCAACACCTTCCCCGACTCCTTCTGACTCAGGCCACAGTTCGGTATCAGCTGCCGGCAGCAGTTGGACGTAGGAGATGGCCGAGATGAAGAAGCTGCTCGCCCAACTGATAGCCGACAAACAGCAGTCCCACCAACAACAAAGAGGTCGTTCCAAGTCTCGAGGCAGGGGCCAATGCAGCCAGTCTCAGACGCCAGCAGTCCACCCAGATTAGTGCTGGTACCATAAGAAGTTTGGGACGGATGCACGAGGATGTCGCCCTCCCTGTTCTTTCAATTCAATGTCGGGAAACCGGTAAAGCCCCCTCTGCCACAAATGCCGGAGGTGGGCAATCTAGAACCCTCGGAGAACCGCCTACATGTATACGACCGCCAGACCCGCACACTTTTTCTCATCGACTCTGGATCCATTGTCTCCCTCCTACCAAAGGCCCTGGTAGAAGGCCGAGAGCATCTGCGCCAGCCACTAACATTGACGGCAGCCAACGCCTCGCCCATTGCCACCTACGGGACCCAAACACTGAAGCTCAACCAGGGCATCCGTCGGCCAGCCACGTGGATCTTTATTGTCGCTGACACGGATGTCACCATCATAGTAGCGGATTTCTTGTCTCACCACGGATACCAGGTGGATGTCAGAAAAAAGCAGCTCGTTGATCCCGTCACAAATTTCTCCACGCATGGACTTGTGACACCTGCAGCGATACACTCGGTATCAGTAGTTACTACTCCGGCACGAGAGACGGATGGTACCCTGGGTCCACGCTACCAGAGCCTGATAGCAGAGTACGCAGATATCTGCTCACCAAAGCCCACCGCTGCTGCTCTGCCGGATCTCCCGGTTTTCCACACAATCCACACTGCGGGCCCACCCGTCTTTGAGCGCCCTCGCCACCTGGTTGGCCCACGCCTACTCGTCGCCAAGGAAGAAGTTCGCCGTCTGATAGACCAGGGAATCGTGCAACCATCATCTAGCCCCTGGGTGAGCCCACTACATCTCGTCCAAAAGGCCCAAGGAGGCTGGAGGGTCACTGGCGACTAGAGGAGCCTGAACGCCTGTATCAAAGCAGACCGCTATCCACTTCTGGTCATCGAGGACCTTTTGCAGGAGGTGACGGGAAAGGTTTTTTCCCTCATTGACCTGAGGAAAGCGTTCTACCAAGTGGAGATCACCGAAAAGGACGTTCCAAAGACAGCGATCACCATGCCCTTTGGTCTACGAATTTACTCGGACATCCATGGGTTTGCGCAACTCCGCGCAGTCCTTGCAACGCACCATAGATCACGTCCTACGCGAGCTTCCATTCACTCGGTGTTACTTAGATGACATCCTGGTCTTCTCCGACAACCACGAGCAACACCTGGAACACTTGCACCTTCTCTTCAACGTTTTATGAAAGAGGAGGTTACGAATTAACCCACAAAAAAGTTCCCTCGGCTAAGATGAAGTGGATTATCTGGGTTTCGTCATTTTAGTAGACAGCGTTTGCCCCCCATAACACAAGGTCAAAGCCGTCGAGGATTTTTCGAAGCCAAACGACTCATCCGAGCTCCACCGTTTCCTGGGGATGCTCAACTTCTACAGGCGCTGCATCCTGGGAGCAGCCAACACACTGGCACCTCTCAACGATCTGCTAAAGGAGCTTTCTCCGAAGAAGAAAAAAGCCCCGCTGTCTGGTAGTCCAGAAGCTGACGCAGCTTTCTAACTTCGCAAACAGGCCTTAGCCGAGGCAGCTACTACGACTTTTTTCAAGCTGGGCACTGCCCCCGCCCTAAGAACTGATGCCTCAGACACGGCAATCGGCGCAGCCTTAGAGCAGGAGCATCCGAAAGGTGTCTGGAGGCCACTTAGTTTTTTTTCAAGGAAGCTCACCAAGGCCGAAACAAATTACGCCGCATACAAAGAGCTGCTGGGAATTTACGCAGCCATCAAAGTTTTTGAGCGGATGTGAGAAGGACGACCGTTCACGGTCTTCACAGACCATAAGCTGTTCGTCGTCTACGCCGCCCGACAACCCTCAAACAAGGCTTCGCCCTGGCAGGTCCGACACCTTGACTATATCCTGCAACACCAGGTTACCCTCTGCCATGTCAAAGGTGAAGATAACGTGGTGGCCGATGCTCTCTCACGTATCAACACGATAGCCATGCCTTCAGTTATTGACCCAGAGGTCATATCCAAGGCTCAAGCCGAAGACCAGGAGCTCGAGCATCTCTTCTTGGACCCTCGCATTGATCTTCAGCCGCTCACCATCGACGGTCACCTCATCCACTGCGAGACGTCCACGGGAGTAGTGCGCCCCTATCTTCCGAAGAAGCTTCGTAGGACGTCATTCGAGGTACTCCACAACCTGAGCCACCCCAGTATGAGAGCCACAGCACGCTTGGTGGCACAAAAGTTTAGGTGGCCAAAGCCATGGTGTAAGAATAGACAGGTGGGCCGAAGGCCTACCTCAACGCATTGTAAAAAAAGTTCAAATTTTGTCGCAGTACCGATACTAGCCACCAGAGGGATCCGTGTCGTGCAGGCCATTGATAGTATGAAAATTTTTTTTTTCTTTTTTCTTTTTTTTTTTTTATATAGTCATACTGACCATTATAAAAACTGCCTCTACTACTCGAAACCACCTAGCGGATTTTAGATGTACTGCGACACAAATTGGACTCGATAGAGGCGGGCCTTCGGCCCACCTGTCTATTCTTACACCATGGCCGAAGCTAAGAAAGGGCGTGACTCAGTGGGTGCAACAATGCGAACCATGTCAGCGCTCCAAGGTACATCACCACAACCGCTCTGCCCTCGGTGACTTTGACATCCCCAACGGGCGTTTCGACCACATACATGTGGACCTTCGGAAGCTACCACTGACAAAAGGGTACCAATATTGCCTGACAATCATCGGCCGTTTCAGCAAATGGCCTGTCAAAGTCTCGATCCCAGACCAACAGGCATCCACCGTCACCAAGGCCCTCATCGACAACTGGATCTCGAACTTTGGAACACTGCTCACGCTTACTTCTGATCAAGGTGCGCAGTTCGACTCTACACTCTTCACAGAGCTCAACAAAATGATCGACACAAACCGTATCAGGACCATGACGTACCACCCGCAGTCAAACGGAATGGTAGAGCGAGTGCATAGAACGCTCAAGGCAGGTTTAATGTGCAACGAGGATACACCCTGGCCTGACGCCCTGACACTGGTCCTGCTAGGACTGCGCAAGTCTTTTAAAGAGGACCTACAAGCCTCCCCGGCCGAGATAACGAGCTCTACAGGATAACGCTCTGAGTGCCTGGAGAGTTTTTTTACAACCACCAGCCATCCGAATGCCAACCCACAGTCTTTCATCCTAGGCCTTCGCCAGCTGCAGCAGGCCATCAAGCCAGTCTAGGCTTCCAGGCACGCCACATCGCTCAAGCCTTTTATCTTCCGTGACTTGCAGACGTCCTAGCTCGCACGTCTTCAAGCACGTCGACGCGATAAGGAAGCCGTTGGATCCACCGTACACAGGACCACACAAGGTAATCCGACGAATCAACGACCAGAGTTTCATTATCGAAGTCAACGGACGCCCTCGCACCGGCTCTACGGACACCCTGAAGCCAGCGTACTTGGAACGCTCGGACATGCCAAGCTCCGGCCAAGCCGATGCCGCAGTACCCTTGCCAGCCACAGGACCGCATCCAGGTCCCAATTACATGTAATTAATTCACAATTTTGATTGATTGTCTAGTACGACAAAGATCTTTTTGATTGGCGCTGTTATAATTGATTGATAATTTATTATTCAGTAGTAAGTGCCCTGGGTCATTGGGTGATAGGCGCTTGTGTTATTCATTGATAATTATTTATATAATTATTAGAGAATTCCCAAGTCTGGCCGGAACTATATCCCAACACTGACTATACCTCAACACTGCTACAAATCATAGACATATAAAGAATACACTGCTTATTAGCAGCCGGGGCAGTGAAGCTCGCGTAGAAAGAGAGAGAAGACGAGGGCAGTCAGTCTTTCTCTCTCGCACACTCGGGGAGTTGGGGCGCGAGGCAGCGCGGAGAAGGGGCACAGTTGTATACATATGTAAACACATATATGTATGCATGATGTTTGTTTACTCAGTAGCAGACGATGCAGTGCACAGGCGACAGCTGTATTATACGTGCTTCAATTCATTTATGTCAACAAAATAAATATATCTTTTATTTCTCAAATTACCCCAATGCGTAGATGATAAATGATTTTTAAATAATTTCAAAGAATAATTAAAAATTAAAGTTTTGTATAATTTATTAATGTACACTATTGACCAGAAAACAATGTAATTTTATTATTTTTCATCCTGATTCTTTTCATTTCATCCTTGTATCGCGAGCACTCGTTGTGGATACGTAAATTGAAGAATTCATTTAATATAATCTTCATGAGTTGTGTTCTATGATCAAACATTGATAGCTGATCATATATATGTGATCTCCATCATTAAAAAGTGTTCTTGGCAGTTGTCTGAAACATTTACTAATCAGAAAATCTATGATCTTTTTTTCTGTAAACAGATTATTCTTATACATTCTTAGAACCCTTTCGACTGTCTTACAGATAGTGTTAAAAAAATCATCTGAAGAGAAATGGTCGCTGCATTTTACAGCACTACTGTATAGCAAGAATCTCGACCAATACTTTGGAACCATTCTTTTTTCCTTTGTTCATCTTTTGGAATCCTCGAAAATTAAATTTTTATTTTTAGTTGCATCTTATAAAATACCTAATTCTTTAAGTCATCGGAAAACTTCAAATAACTTACTTATGAAAAGATCGGTTGCTATTAGCTGAACTTTGCTCTGCTGCACATACTATACATAATTTTACCATTTTACAAAATAATTAACTTGCTTCCAAAATATTTATAATTAAAACTATCCTGAGAATTGCTCAGCTGTATCATGCATCAACCTATATGACCTGCACTGCATCGTCTGCTACTGAGTAAACAAACATCATGCATACATATATATATTTACATATATATGCAACTGTGCCCCTTCTCCGTCTATCTGCCTCGCGCCCCCCCCCCTCCCTGAGTGTGCGAGAGAGAAAGACTGACTGCCCTCGTCTTCTCTCTCTTTCTACGCGAGCTTCACAGCCCTGGCTGCTAATAAGCAGTCTATTCTTTATATGTCTATGCTACAAATATTATGAACATGCGCGGACGAAAATGAGCAATGGCGTGAGATGAGAGCAGTTAAGCCGTCAAACACATAGACATATAAAAAATATAGACTGCTAAATTTTATGTACGGCACTGAAGCACAAGTAGAAGGAAACACAACATCGAACGTGGGTATCTGTCTTTTTCGTACGATGCTAAAGGTGGGAACGTGCAAGAGCAACACAGATCCCCACGTTCAATGCTGTGTCTTCTTCTACTCATGCTTCAGGCTTCAGCGCCGTACATAATGACGAGCCGTTCTTATTTCCTACATGTCTATGGTCAAATCTAGTTGTGCTACCTGACTAGCACGTCGTTTTACAAGCTTGGCCCAATGTTGGCTGCCTGCATAGGGCATAGTGATTAAGCTTGGCAGCTTGATTTCGTTTCCAATCGGGAGATCGGGACGTTATTTCCGCATATAAACGTATGCGCTTCGCTCGCTTGGACAAGACAATAAAATAAGGCCTTTTAAGCAGAGATTAGAAGGGAGATTGCCAGCGCCTATGGTAGAGAGTGTGTCGCTTTTTTTCCACTGTTTTGAGCGCCCCGTCGCGGCAAATCAGCCGAACTATACGCACGTTTCAGCAGCGGAGGAGAAGACCAAATTGTGCGTACGATAGGTACCTAGTAGAGGGGGAAGGAATATGTGCGTATACACGGGTATAGCTATATATGTTTTGTATTCTAGCTGCCTCGGCTCTCGGCTCCCGGCTCTCGCAGCTCGCAGCTCTCGCATGCATGCGTATACCTATATCTATTCCTGATGTGATGTTCCCTCAAAAGCGGTTTTGAATGTTGGACAGTTATTATATGTCCGGTCATATATTATTCATTAAATGTGTATTAAATACTTGTACAGCTAAATACTGAGTTTTCCTCGTATAAAATAAAAAATTGAGTAATAAAAACGTAAGCCCCGATATTTAATGTAACTTCTTGAAACTTGATCTCTATAAAATAATCATTTTTACAACTTGAATAATTTATGTTTTTATAGATTTATAAAAATTTAGCACATTAAAAATATCAGAATAATACACACACGCTTCACTTTGATTTTTAAGTTTATTCAATAGAGAATGACTTTTTCTGTAATTAAAATATCATTCTTCAACACATGTAACTTTTCTAATAAGAATAAGTAATTGTGAAAATATTTAGAAAAATAATTCTACTTGTAGGCCAAACTTTAACACAATTATCAATATAAAGAAAAAATAAACTAATACTTAAGCTTAAACCCTGGAGCTTCACGATAAACATGTGTCACTGTAAGTGCTAAAGAAAAGAGTGCGTTGGTAGTCAAGGTAACTAAGTACCGCATTGTGTAATTTTGCTTTGAGCATTCTGGGGTTCAAATCTCGCTCGCAGCAGAATTTTTTTTTTTTTACGATTTTTTTTTATGGTAGTACAAAACTTTTTTTTGATAATAGTATTTAATTCTCATGTTTATGTTGCTTACCGACTACGCTTTGTAAATTCATTCCTTGTAAAGTTGGGTGATTTTGTTAGATATTTAAATTTTTTAATAAAAATATAATATCATTAGTGGGGAAAATGCTAATTACCATTTCATCCTTTTTTAGATGGCTATAAAACTATTATTGATGAAGTTAAAAATCAACCAAAAGTAATTTAATAGTACTAAGTTATTTTACACTATTCTAACAAAATGGTTATGATCTCACTTCGATGAGGATCACACCTTTTACAACCCAATTAATAATTGTGTTAAACTTATTCAAACAATTAATTAAACTATTAGAAACCAGGAAAATTTTTGAAAACACTTTTTATCAAATGATTTTTCATTGCTTTTCCAAGTTAAACACAAGTTTATTGATAAAACACTCAGTTAACTGGAGAGCAAAGTATGGCATCACTTAACATAAAGGAAACCATGAAAACATTAGTAAAATAAAAGGCAAGGTATTAAATATTTAGGACTTAAAAATTTTTTTCCTATTTTAGAACTAAATTTTGCCTATTCTATAGATATAACTTATGTTGTACAAGTTCTTACACTAATTTTGATGATTCAGATCAAAAAATTGTTTTTAAATCCATACGGCATTTACCAAAAAAATTAAATTTATAGTACCTTATAATTTTTTCAGAGCCATAATTGTGACCACTTATTAATCGTCTATATTTTGTTTAAAAAATTTTTAATCTAATAAAAGGGTAGTCTGAGTATGTCTCATGGTGTATACATGTCATAAAATGTATGTAAAAAAACGTATTGCGGGAAAACTGGGCTTTTTTTGTCCATGAGCACTGCACTAAAAATGCTCTCAAAATTTTACGCTTTGATCAAACTTGTCTGATTGTAAGCCCTCAGCTGAGACATTCAGCCCAAATCTAACAACAAAATTGCGGCCTATTTAGATCATAACTACTTAATTTAATCTTAAAACTTGATAACATGTATATGCGTCTGCGTTCACAGACAGAGTTCTGTTTCTCGTCAAAATTCAACTTTTTAGTACTGTATGTTTTGCTGCAGATAGCAATTAATGCAGACGCTTCATAATGCAAAATAAACATAAAAACAGTCAAAAAAGATTTGGTATCTGTTACAGAAATAAATTTAAATTCTACAACAAAGTATTGAATACAAATTTTGTAGAGCTTATAAAAAAGAAACTTTTGAAAGTAATTTTTTTTTTTTAATATCTTCTGAACGATTTAATAGCCAATAATCGTTTTTAAATGGCTGAAAAATCGTTTTACACCATTTAATTGAAAAAAAGCAGTGATGTTTTTCTGTGTTTTTTTTCTAGAAACAATACTCAAATAAGACTACCACCTAAACAATGAAATATAATGCGTTCAACAAACGTGGTCTTTAGATATCTTTAGTATAAAAAGTACTAGTTTGATTCCTGGGATAAATAATAATGATAATATTTATAATTATAATAATAATAATAACAATAATAATTAAAAATATTTTGAGTAGAATTTCTATAAAATCATTTAATAGTCTGCTGAGAAACCAGTGATTTCTCGAATGAATCGTAGTAGGTATTAAAAAAAAAAATCTCTACCAATTACATAGCTCTTAACTTTTATCAATAATTTTTATTTCTTAATTTTTATGTTGCACTAAATTAGTTGTACTAATATTTATTGAATCCAGGTATAATTATAGTCACTTTAAAAATTTGGTTTAGTCCTAAAGTTTTTGTTGGACACAATTTAATATTTGTCATTTAAAATATTTACATAATATCATATGATTCTTAATTTGAAAATAATAAAGATATCGATAAAAATTGAAGCGACTTTAGGAACGGGATTAGAAACAACTAGGCTTACTAAATATTTTCAAAAGATTGTAGAGACATGAGTATTGATGCACACGTACACCCGAATTTACCTATATCAAATTTTGTTTTTGTTTTTTTTATTTAATTTTTTTTAATCATGCTTTTAGTCAGGAACTTAATGTTGCTGTAAAGTTTTAATCATAAAATATAACACTAAAA